AAAACAGTGCCTGACAAAAACATCAGTTTTGTGGCGATTAAATGAAGTACTAATTCAGAAATAATGAAGACAATCAATTTGATTTGCTGAATGTATGATTAGACGGCTGAAAAACAACCCTTGCGGCATTGCCTCTGACGGTTTTTACTCACCACAACGTGTGACTGAAGACCCTTTGCTTTTATTGATTCATTTATCGTTTTAATAAACATTTGTGCTCCCCCCAACACACTAAATTTAAGAAAACATCTGTATACAAGGAAAGTTAGTTACTTCTCGGTTAACCAAATCAAATCAATCATGTTGGTGGCGATTCAAACAGAAATATTCTAGTCACGGTACTATCGATCTATCCTTCTGATGAATTGATTAAGGTATAAGTGAATTGGGGGACAGGGGAGATAAGGAGACGACGATATCTATATTGTCTACATGTCAGTGTTAATAATTAAAAGTAATCAAGGCTTATCACATTACCAGTGTAATTAATAAGGCAATAAGTGATAATTATTTACTGTGATCGGCTTTCTAAATTTTTCATAAATTCTAGAAGTAGAATAAAAGAGAAAGAAGTATGTAGTAATGGTAACACACTAGAAATACTAGTGATAATTACAATGAAGTTATAAGATTTATTAGTGACCTTTAATCAAATAAGTTTATTCAGTTAATTTTTGTATGTTAGCTAATCAATGAGAGAATAACAAAAATAACACTTATAATGAACACAAAAGGAAACACTTCCCCCAGGTATTTCATCAAGTGAACAGTGAAATTAAGATTGGATTCACGAGCATTGCTGTTCAGTATTACATAGATTACAGTAACTTTGTGTGTATGTATGAACAAGTATATTGTTCATAGGCCGCCTGTATTGTACAACACATACAAGTACACAGATGTACACCCATATACGTATAGAAAGAGAGAAACATATAATCAACTAAACACCTAATCGATAATCATATGACAGTTATGACACTAACAGGTAACAATATGGTATGTTGAACATGAAGAAGTATTGATTTCTTTTATAAAACGATAATAATAATAATCGGCTTAGAATGTATTACATAGAAATTTTACACGAATAATCGGTTCTTATTGTCATACAAAGATGATATAATCGTCATCTATATAACCAATAAATTCATTAATAACCTTGTTATTTTATTTAGGTGTAACACGTACTGATATCATTTGGCTGATCTAACTGAAGCATTCGAGATCAGATTTGTATAACTAAAGAAAATGAATATTGAATGTGTTTTCAATAAAATATTTTTCATTCAAAAGAAAAAAAAGTATTCTTGTCTAATAATGTCCCAGAATTATCATTTCAATGAACTACTAAACAAGAAATAATTTACAATAATTCAGTGGAAAATCCATTTTTTTATAAGTAGGTTAATGTGTTTCTCTTCTTATTGCTAGAAGAAATCCCGAGTACTAAACTTGCGAATATAACTGTGAATAGATCAAGTAGTTGTACGACGTTTGGCGACATGGCTCCGGATACGATATTAATACAGATGCATTTCACTTTGATCTGTTCATAGAGAACAAATATATATAACTTAAGAGCCTTGAAATGAAATCTCTAATAGATAGCACATTATGATATGAAACAATCATCTACTAAATGGACGAAAAAATGTCTGAAAATACTTGAGGATATCGGACATTGGAAAAAAGATGGATAAGCCTAGTCAAATTTAAATGCCTTAATCACAGAAGACAAGTGTACAGAAGACACAATAATCAAAATACGAAGGTTAATAATTGTTTATCACCGGTTTTTAATAACGTCAGATACTAATTGAATTAAACTTCAGGAAATCATAGAAAAATATTCAATGTCTTGCAATACATAGAATAAGAAAATTTTACAATTGATTTATTTCTTTAAAAAATGGTTTTATTTTAGTAGACTATAGAGATTACATGAAATCTATTTGATGATTATTGTCAATCAATCGAGGAAACACTAAAACTAAATATCACAAATAACTTGCTAAACAGTAAATATAATTAAACTAGTCGATGTGTCATTTTACACAGAAATTCTCTTTAAAGACTGTGATGAATTCAACAAGTTCGAAATGGAAGACAGTAAGTAGTGGATAATGCGACATTGGCTGAAGATCACACTGTATCGAAAAAATGGATAATTTTACGATAAAGATTGTAAAATTACTATTGAATAATCGAAAGATATAATGTTACATTATGTCAGCAATGATTGATTTAAGCCCGATCCCGAGTTGGCTTGTGTATATAGCACTGAAGGGAAAAACCAATTACTAAGTGATGAAATTGCCTGGTTATGAATAAGCCTTTAAAGATCAACAATAATCTCCAAGAAACTAACTTTTTCATTTTTAGTGAAATCGTTGCACAGAAATAATAGAAGCTGGAAACTAACTAACTAAACTTAGTTTCGACATTTAAAGGTTGTGTGGATGGAAAAGAAATAATTTTCATAAAATACGATATCAAATGATTCTCATAAGATGATGATAGTAATAAATAAAGACAAACAAAAAATCTTATGTCCCAGTCATCTAATATATACAGTTCACATGATAGCAATATATACATATATAGCCATCGTTTTAATAAACTTATGTATAATGTGAATTTATAGAATCTGTTTTATATAGTCATGAATACAAAACAACCCCATTAAACCTTGCATGGGCTATTAGATAATAAGAAAATGATTGATTTGAGCAAAATTTTATATATATATATATCCAATTAAGTGTACTTAAATCTAGAGAATTAATAGTTTTTTTAAATATAATTATCATTTTAAAAGTACCATTGAATATTTTGTCAAGATTGTTTCAAATTGTAGATGGTATTCGTCTTGATAAGAGATTACTAGATATTGGTATTATCCCTGTATGAAACTTTTTAACAGTACAACATCTATGATACTGATAATAACTGAAGTTCTAAGAAGAAATTATGATTGATAGTGATCAGATGATATCAAGAGTGGAATAGTTATCAAACGTACATTATACAATAAGTATAAAAAAATAACTATGAATTTATGTTTTCACACAGATTTCATCGTATATATTTATGAGCTAGATTACTTAAACTTCACATACTCTCCATAGACTGTCTCATATCAGAAGAAAAATCACTATCTACAACTACTTCTAGTAGTTTATGTTATTACTCAAACCGAGAGAGAACCATTAATTATTACCTTCGACCGGATAGAGAGAGATGCTAAAAATTAAATTATTTCCGTTTATGTATTTGAGCCCCACCCCATCTACATCTTCAGTACGGGCAACAGATTAGTATCACTAGCCCTCAAAATAAAAGTTTGAGTGATGCAGAAATACCTGCTGAATGAATCAAATAAGTAATTATTTATTAAACATATTTGAGTTAATTAATTCATACGGACATACAATAATTGGACGTAGAGAAATCATACTTTTCAATAGTACAAGATGATATATCATCATACAATACAATGATTTTTACATCTTATTAGGCAATCTGATACATTCCTTTTTGGTTCCTACAGTAGCAGAGTATAACCCAAGTGGTTCGAAAAAATGGAAAATACCCTGGTACGGTCGAGGGTGGGGGAGTCAGCTCTCCTTCTCGAAATGCTCTAAAATGGCTACGCGTATACAGACACTATCAGAGATGCCCTACTCACTGCCTTCTTGTGGCAAGAGTGTTGTTTACAAAACTGAGAGGGAGTGAAGTGAACATCCGGGGCTCTAACCGGATTGGTGGATATGGAGGAGCAAGCTAGGGGAGTTGGAAAACCGTGATTCCAAGCCAGTGGGGCACATAAGCTCCAGGATCCTGAAGGAACAAATGGCGTATGAACTAATTATTGGTCACCGGCTACCATGGGACTGCATCTCCTAAAGTTGCTCCGCTGTCTAGGTCGAAAGCTCAGAAATTGGCTTCCTAGGAAAACCACCTGCTTCGATTTGGGCGCCTGGGCAGTATTCCATCCTTCACACAAGTCGAATGACGAAGTGTAGCGTATATGTCTTTGGTGCCTCCTTGCACCAATGTTTACGTGTTTGAATAAATAACTGATAATAATAGTAGAAGTAGAAATTCATAGATATTCATTTTACCATTTTTTTGCCGTGATTGGCATACTGAAGAGACGCAATTCTACCAGATATTTTGATCCAACAAAATATAACATAAAATAGAATAAATATGTCGGAATTTTTTATATTCTTAATACCTTGCAGTATAACTAACAGGTCAGTCAGCTACAACGTAGGACCAGGCACATATGTGCATCGGTCCAGGTTGCCATATCTCATCAGCACAACAAGATGAACACCAGATTCATAACAGTGGTTAGGTGAACGGTGGTAATATATAAGAGAAAGATTGCATATAGAGATATAGTACAAGAAGAAAGAATTAGTTCGTAGAAAGAAAGATATGCAGTATAACTAACACTGCTCCATGACTATAAAATTACATTACTTTAGATCGAATGATCATGAACCTTCAGCACGTTTTAAATCAGACAGACACCTTGAATATAATACGGGAGTATTTAAAATGTGCATACAATTAATCACTTGTTTTCTATCTTGTTAGATATTCCAAACATACTTTTCAGCAGCACGTATAATCAACAGATCTTCAAAATGAATCACATACACACACCTACAATCTACCTAATTATGGTGATGTTTTGTTCTCAGATAGAACTTCTACCAGAATTTTGTGCTGATCATGTCGTTCAGAAGAACCATGAAAGCTCCACGATCAAACGGTCAAACTCAGAGAACAAAACTCCATCAAAATCATCTATCTGAGCTACAGAACGTCTCCACTATTTCACAGTCTACCTAATTTTACACATAATTTTAACACAACAAAAAGTGAATTACTAGACACTGTCTAAATAATAACTTTTAAATATAATTGTCAAATACATTGAACAGAACTAAATTATGAGCAGCGTTTTTTTCTTCTTTTTCTTTCGAATAATAATAATTCCCTTGTTGTTGTTTTTTGTACTAGTTACCTAGTTACTTTCAATAACAACAAGAGAGAAAAAAAAGTACACTGTTTACAATTTGAATAAATTATACTCTTGATTTTTTTTTCTTCTTTATTCAGTGTTGATGATTTATACATCATTGAAAATTAAATAAACATTTTTACTGAGAACCTTGATTGATTTGACTTGAATAAGTAATGGAATCCGCTAGCTTCTTAGTTTTTAACATTAAAATAATCAAGATTGAAAATGAAGGTTATTACATAATCAATTATAAATAATCCATCTAAAATGTAAAACATGATTTCATGAAAACAGTGAATGATTTCCTTTTTATAAAAGAAAAAATAAAACAACAAGTAATACTTACAGTGTCCGGTATTTGTGAATTATTACAATTATTACTACTAGTATAATTGTGAATATTCATTGTATCTGAAGTATTTGAATAACTATGATCATTTGAAATTTTCAATTGTTGTTCCTGACGTAATTGATTTATTTGACGATTACATCTATCTAATTCACGTTGAAGTCGTTCTCTTTCCTCTTTCTCTCGTTCATATAATCGTTTATAATCTTTGGACTAGATATAATTTGAATCAAGAGGATGACGATGATGATGCCAATAAGAGGATTGAAGATGTGAGTATTGGGATAAACACGTGAACAGAAGAAAGACAGAACAAAAGGAACAAATAGTTAAGTCATAAAAAGTATAGACGTCATATATATAACATTAAATTAATCATCAAAGAGCACTTGTGACCATTTTATACATAATGCATTAAGATTGAGGAATGAGTCAGTCAACTGAACTGATTAGTACTAAGATATTCGACTTCAGAGATGAATAAGCGATTTTACAACCGAGATACAAGTTACTACAGGTAAGCTGACATTATTTGAATTCTTTATTACAACTAGAAATCAAAAGGTGGCATTTGAGAAGTATTCAAAGAAAACCTACTTTCAACTAGGACTGTAAATGTACAGATCTACATTGATTTGGTCATTCGGAGGAGTAGCCACTATTTGATGTGTGATGGTGAAAATAAGATGTAATTAAACATTAAGCATGAACTGGTTACTTCTGCATTATGGATTTTTACCCTGATCTTGTTGTGTAGACTGCTTGTAATTACGTTGAATCAATTATTGTCTTGACTATCGTCTATATTTGTTTGTGAATTGTGTACCTGGTATGATGTGGTTCATTTTATGTATAGCATGTCAATTGAGTATCCAGTCTAGTGGTAATATTAATCTTGATTACCAGTCGTATTATTGTATTTTATTGTAAAATAACGTGCCAAACACATAAAGATTTATATTCTGTTCTAAAATCGGCATGTTAGTCCATGCCACTGGGATAGTAAATTATAATGAGTAATAGAATACTAATTGATTACTGAGTCATTTTACATCAGTACAGTGATGAGTAGATATTGACAGAATGAAAAGGGTACAGAATTCATACATTAGGCCTGACAGTGAGATCTTGATCAATTGAAGAATGAGTGATCTACAAGTTAATTGCCTTCAATCACGTATGGCATTTTAACGTGTTTATTTTGTGTTCATATTCTGTATATAAGTATGTTAATTTATTACAGAAAGAATTAATTCATTTAACTAGTGGTCTTGTTTTTAATTTCTAACCATTCAGGAGCATTAGTCAATTATACGGTCTCGTAAGTAGGCATCAACTCGGTTACACTTTCCATCGTTGTTTTCATCCATCAATCAGCATTATATTCATTGATTTTAACAGTCAAAATTTCAGTATAGGGGTTGTAGAGATTATTAAGTTTTTTTAATTAAGATTATGAACTTAATATTCTCCACAACCCCTTTAATGATAATTACCATGTGCACACTAGTGACTAGCTTCGTGAGGGAATTCTCGGAATTCTAGTCCGAAGCCGTGACCAGTGAAGCTAATCCATGTCGAGTAGAGACCTCAGTATAATCGAAGATGGTCGCGCAAGTTCATGGATTGGTTGAGCTTATACATTAACACCATTGGATGCCGGCCAAGTGATCCAGTAGGTTGTGTTCGCGCGCGAGACTGAAGGTCCTGGGTTCGAATCCCACGAGCGGGATCGTGGATGTGCAGTGCTGAGGAGTCCCACATTAAGACGAAACGGCCGTTCAGTGCTTCCAGGTTTTCAATGGTGGTCTAGCATCAATCGGTTCATGATCTCAATGAAAAAAGTCAAAATTTAGTTTAATCAAATTATAGAATATCTCCTTTATTATAGTGACGACGGAGATAAAATCGATCATGAAAATGTCAATTTTTCTATAGATAAGTGAAACTTATTATTCATCATTCAAATAATCTAATCGTATAGAGGACTTATTGAAATCTTTTTAAATAAATTAAAAACTGAACACTCCACTGGTTTGAATAATTGTTTTCTGATTAGCGGTTTTTTAGCGAATTAGTTTTCTACAGGATGCAGTCGCTAACTCCATGCCCAACCTTCTTTCTTTATCCGGGCTTAGGACCGGCAGTAGCCCCAGAGGGGCTCCAAACGGAATCCTCAAGGCCAAAGGAGAAGAGGAAGACCAAAGAACACATTACGCTGAGAAATGGAGACAGACATGAGGAAAATGAACAAAAATTGGATACAACTGGAAAGAAAGGACCAGGAAAGCGTGAGTTGGAGAATGCTGGTTGGCGGCCCATGCTCCGTTGGGAGTAAGAGGCGTAAGTAATTAAGTAAGTAAGTAAGTAAGTAAGTAAGTAAGTAAGTAAGTAAGTAAGTAAGTAAGTAAGTAAGTAAGTAAGTAAGTAAGTAAGTAAGTAAGTAAGTAAGTAAGTAAGTAAGTAAGTAAGTAAGTAAGTAAGTAAGTAAGTAAGTAAGTAAGTAAGTAAGTAAGTAAGTAAGTAAGTAAGTAAGTAAGTAAGTAAGTAAGTAAGTAAGTAAGTAAGTAAGTAAGTAAGTAAGTAAGTAAGTAAGTAAGTAAGTAAGTAAGTAAGTAAGTAAGTAAGTAAGTAAGTAAGTAAGTAAGTAAGTAAGTAAGTAAGTAAGTAAGTAAGTAAGTAAGTAAGTAAGTAAGTAAGTAAGTAAGTAAGTAAGTAAGTAAGTAAGTAAGTAAGTAAGTAAGTAAGTAAGTAAGTAAGTAAGTAAGTAAGTAAGTAAGTAAGTAAGTAAGTAAGTAAGTAAGTAAGTAAGTAAGTAAGTAAGTAAGGTGAACACTTCACTCATACAATATTAATCTAGAAGTCTAATTCAGCTCATTTCATGAAATGATCAAATGGTTGTGATCAATAGTATGTCTAAGTTAATAATAATTTTAAAAAATCATAGTGAGAAACTAAATGTAAAGCAAAAAAGGAATAAAAATAAAAAGAGAGAACAATTCCAAAGTACATATAACATGGAGATTGATGAATGATAAATAAATGGAATTTAAAAAGAAAATTTTTTTTTGACGTATATAAGTTAATTGATTGGAAGTAATCAAATGTATTTTATTGTTTAATCATAGATTATAATTATTTTGTAGAATCTTAAAACAAACTATATACATCCATTATTGCACATAATACATTGAAATAGTTATACAACAATATTATACATTGTCATACTACTAGATATCTTCTCAAGTACTAACACATCTAGTAGTATGTATCGAAATAGAAATTAAATAGCTAAGTATATATGATCTAGATTCGGAATATTTACTTTCATTTATTTTATATCAACTCACTATAACTAATAAGAAATTAGTTGGTTAAGAAGTTTAGCCTTTATAAATAGAATATTTATCAATAGATTGATGTTATACTAATAAAGTATAAAAAAAACACATTCAACAATATCCGTTCATTATCAACATTTTCATAGTCTACACAAAAATGTATCCTGTAAATGTACATGAATAGAAGAAATTAATTACGTATAGTTGTTAATCAATAAAAGGGACAATTCAACTACATATTATTGTTATCGTCATCGGTAGTAATACACTAACATATTAAACGTGAATATCTTATGTAATATTAGTAAATTCATATGGTGATTGTGAGCACTAGTAGATGAGAACAATCGATATTGTGTATAGGTGTATGCAAATACATATATACATACAACACCAAATTACGTCACACGTACAATAACTATTACTTAACAGTTAACAATTAGTAATAACATAAGACATAATGAAGTGTTTCAAATAAATAATGAGGTGAAATTGTGATAAACCGGAGAGGAATAAATGAAATATATATACACGTAGTTAACTTGTAATTACAAACACAATATCTATTCACTTAGTAGAACATAAAACGATTAGTGTCACTAATAGCAGATTTTGTAGCAATTGGGGTAATGGTTAGAATTCTATTATTAGTTTTAACGAATCAGTGGAATTCAAGAAACACATTTCGTCTTACGTGGTATTCATCACCTGGATATCCTTGTATCCTAATGTTGATGTACATACTGAGATTACAGTTTAATTACCTAACGTTTTACATGCCAAACGAGTTATTCACTGAACAACTGAGTCTATATAGCTATAAGAGTTCATGAGACAAGTATCAAATAGAATGAAATACGAGTCTTCAATTCCACTTTTAGCCATTATTCAAAATAAGAGCTCGTGACAAAAATGGCATAGCATAGAAGCGATCTGTTTAAGATGCGCATAGATCAATCAATATAGACTAGACTGTTGAAGTCCTTAGATCTCCTTCACTCTTAAAACAAATGATTTGTTTCCACAGCCGAATTGACATAATAAGCATTTAACTTACATTCTAATATATGCATCTATTACACCGTAATGATGAGCTGACAAGAGGGATGTGGTGTTTGCTCAAAATATCTTTCTTATCCTCTATTCATAGACTTTAGGCAGTGATGGATTGTTAATGAAATATTCCAATT